CACCTTACCTGCCTCCTGAGAAACCTGTATGCAGGTTAAGAAGCAACAGTTAGAACCGGACATGGAACAACGGACTGGCTCAAAATTGGGAAAGGAGTAGTCAAGGCGGTATATATTGTCACCCTGATTATTTAACTTATATGCAGAGTACATCATACAAAATGCCAGGCTGGATAAAGCACAGGAGTTTGAGCAGGCTGCGGGAGTTGGTGATGGACAGGGAAGCCTGGCATGCTGCAGTCCTCGGGGTCGCAAAGAGCCGGACAACGAGTGAGCAACTGAACTGAATGACACTACTTTAATAATGCGGATAATGAGGCCAGGACAGGGTAAGTAACTACCACAAAATTATACCCCTAGGAAGTGGCAGAACTGGCTGGTAGTTGAGGGAGGCCAGTTGAAGCGCCGGGAGACCTTCAGACCAGACGACCAGCGACTGGGCAGTCCCCAAGTTGGGGCTACAGCAACTTCTCTAAACTGGAGGCTCAGCGGAGGGGAACACAAACTCTGCAGCCGGACGTGGTTTCTCTTACTCTCTCTGAGGACGAGGGTCAGAGACTCACTGGCTTCACCACCAAGATTAGCCGGGCCCCGGGAATTGAAGACATTTCTACCCGAAGGGAAAGGGAGAAGTAGCCAGTCCCTCCTACAGCGAAAGCACCGCCTATCTACTAGAGACAGCCAGTGGACCACTTCCCAGAATGCTCCAGCAGTCCAAAACGGAAGTGCTCTGTGCTACACGGACCTCAGACTACACGTCCCAGAATGCCCTAGAGAAATGACTGCCACGGCCCGCCCCCTGAAGTGGAAATACTTCTGAATACCCTGAACTTCTGGGTATGTATTCTAGAATGCCAGCGCGGAGTTTGGCGAAATTGTTGCGTTTGGGGCTACTACTGCCTTTCTTGAGAATCCCAATCATTCTAGTGTTGAAAATTGAGCATCACTTTAGCCACGTTCAAGGGGCTTGAGAGGAGGTCGGGGTAGGGAAGAGAAGTCAGTAGTAAAACTTCAAAGAACTGCCCTATGGGAATAAGTACATAGGGTAATGAATCACCTTTGCTGGAGACTAAAACCAAACTCTAAATCACATCAATTACTTGAAATCGGATTAGCCTGAATCTTTTCTGTTAGTATCTTCAAGCACTTAAGTCCCGGCTTCCCTGGTGGCTCAGATGATAAAGAATCTGCCCGCAAAGCGGGAGACCCAGGTTCGACCCCTGGATTGGGAAAATACCCTTCAGAAGGAAATGGCAACCGACTCCAGTATTCTTGCCTAGAGAATTCCATAGACAGAGGAGCCTGATGGGCTACAGTCCATGGGGTCGCAAAGAGTCAGTCGGACACGACTGAGCTACTGACACTCAAGCACTTAAAGGGAACAAATGACAATTCTCTCTAGGGAAGATAACATTATCCAAGGTTCCAAATTACTCCTATAATTTAAAAATAATTAATATAGGGCAAAGTAGTCCTTGAAGAAAAAAGCATTATAAAATATACCAAAAAAGTTTATAAATGTCAAACTACCAAGAATGGGTTCACATAAATTATAAAGCAAACTTGGAAAAGCAAAACTGACAGAACCACAAGGAGAAAAATTCACTATCAGAATGGGAATTTTTAATACGTAATTAGGGAGAAGTGTGGGATTTTGAAAGCATATACTAGTACATAAGCTAATTATTAAAATGAAAAAATAACTCCTTGGTAATTTAAAAAATAACAAAAAATACAGTAAGTAGATGGAAGCAAATGAAGAGATCTATGAAACAGAAAACAAATAAGGACTTCCCTGGATGGGGAACGAAGATCCCATATGCAGAGAGGTGTGGCAAAAAAAAAAAGAACAACACTTTAAAGGCAGTAGTTTTCCAGCCCTTGACTTAACTCACTAAACTATACAAATTACCTTGAGAGTTGGTGAGCAATTTTGATATCTACTCAAAACAAAATATAACATCTAGTGCAATTTGAGGTAGCATGGACTTTTATACTCATATGAAGGTGTGGTCTAGGAAATGAATCTGGGAAGCCTGCCTCTCGAGTTATATACATACTCATTTTTGCTGAGTGAAGTTCTTTAACCAAACAAGTGTTAAACATCAGTGAAAAATGAACTAAGAACTAGGAAATGGTATTCAAACCTCAACAAGTTGTTCCCATCATGCTTTGTTCTTTCCCTAAGCACATCTTTTCCTTAGGGAAATCTTTGATAAATTTTACCCCCAAGACTTACATATATTGACTCTTTATCTTCAGGTTTGCCCAATCAGTGTTACCTTGGTAAACAATTAAAACACTCATTTTGTAAATTCCTTCCACCCCATAGCTCAAGATTATTTGCGTTTTACAGTACCTGGAATGAACCAGTTACTTTCTTAATCAAATCAAGCACTTGAAAGGAAAAGCCAGTAGTCTGGATTATTCATCCATCAGCCCAGTAAGGAACAGAACAAAGATGTATAAATTTCTACTGTTGGAATTAAAATAATCTTCTGGGATGCATGGATTTATGCCTAAACTTCATTAGTTACAAAAGTATATAGTTATACTAGCTGATATTCTTCGGAGAAGGCAATGGCACCCCACTCCAGTACTCTTGCCTGGAAAATCCCATGGATAGAGGAGCCTGGTAGACTGCAGTCCATGGGGTCGCTGAGTCAGACACGACTGGGCGACTTCACTTTCACTTTTGTGCATTGGAGAAGGAAATGGCAACCCACTCCAGTGTTCTTGCCTGGAGAATCCCAGGGACCAGGGAGCTTGGTGGGCTGCCGTCTATCGGGTCACACAGAATTGGACACGACTGAAGCAACTTAGCAGTAGTAGCAGCTAGTATTCTGTATCTTTGAACAACCATATACATTTCTTTTTATAATTGATTCCCAGAGTTCTATTCCCTAACTTGGGCTATATATACCACATTCTTACTGTGAGGAATTAGCATGTTTAGTAATTTTCTATGTTTTACAGTTTTTACTACCTACAGTACTATAAACATCACAGTATTTTACTGTAAAATTGATGCTTAATGAAAAATTTAAAATATGGAATCTAAAATGTGGAAACTCTCTGAAATTCCTGTCACTGTTTACATGAGGGTGAATATCCTTTTACAGATGACAGGATGCATTAACAAACACGTTTAAGCTGTGTGATGTCCCTAAACTACATCAGCCTGTTACATGCTTTTGTCCCGAGTCTTGGACATCATTTTTCTAGATTTGGTTTCATATACCAAAATGTATTTAAATAAACTAGCCAATATTTATTTCACTTTTACAAAATTTAGCAGCATCCTTGATGTGCTACTCACCTTTTCTACTTGAATCTCTTAATTGTAAGTTCTGCTTCTATGATTTCTGTACCATAGAAGTCACATCCTGTATTTTGATATATACCCGCCAACTTCTCTTCAAAAAGCAATTTTTCAATCCATCGCTAGGAAAAGTGTGCAAGTCAGTCACTGAATCAATGTATTTGATGAAATGACCAACTTTCAACAAATAATTTTTTTCCTTTTATTTCAGGCCAGGAAGGAGTAGTAATGGAGTAGAGAACTTGATGAAAGTAATCTACTTTATAAACAGCATCTCTTCTCAACTTTGGAAGTCTTGATGAAAGTTAATACTAAGACCTTTGGAAGACTATCACATCAAAGCCTAGATGGAAATGGGGAGAATAAAAAAAACCAACAATCGATTCATTTACCAAGAAATGTTTGTCCTTTGTCACTCAATAACTGACTTGAAAAAACAATCAATAGTATGTTTTCTGTACTGCAAGATTAACAATCCATTTTTCAGTAAGTCTATACTGTCACAAGGGCTTCCCTTGTGGCTCAGCTGGTACAGAATCCTCCTGCTATGTGGGACACCTGGGTTCAATCCCTGGGTTGGGAAGATCTCCTGGAGAAGGGAAAGGCTACCCACAGTATTCTGGCCTAGAGAACTGCAAAGAGTTGGACATGACTGAGCAACTTTCACTTCACTTCATACTGTCACAAAAAGTCTGAATTTGTACTGTATAAATCTGACAGAATGCTAGACAGACTCTAAGATGGTAAGATCCAACTGGAAGCAAGGCTAGGCAGACAAGAGGAGCTAATCAAAATGGGATTAATATCTCAGACTGCAGTACTGAGTGGTTTACTTATACTTTTAACTCTTTGTCTCTCTGAATTACTTTTAAGGCCACATTTAATTACCTGTTCTGAAAAAAACTTTTCATGAAATTTTGAGGGTAATTGCAATATAATTTATAAAACATTTTTCATTTACTAATTCAACAAAATTGAGCAGCTATGAAGTATTATGGGTTTCCCTCGTGGCTCAGATGGTAAAGAATCCACCTGCAATGTGGGAGGCCTGGGTTCAATTTCTAGGTTGGGAAGATATCTTGGAGAAGGGAAAGGCTACCCACTCCAGTATCCTGGCCTGGAGAATTCCATGGATTATATAGTCCACGGGGTTGCAAAGAGTCAGACATGACTGAGCAACTTTCACATGAAGTATTACTTGGCCATGGTCAGACTATGCAGATACAGAACAAAGTCTCTGCATTCTGGAGAGACTACTGGGCATCGAGAGTTCTAATGGGCATTAGTTTTGACCCGTCCATCATACTTTTGTACAAGGCCTGATAAAATCATACTAAGTCTTCTCTTCTGAGTAGTATAAGGTCAAAGTTGAACTGAAGCCCTTACTATAACCCTTATAAGGGATCTCTGTTATGTGGCATCCTGACTACTGGGACATGTTGAGCTATGGTTAAAACGCTGACTTTTTAATGAAACAAATGATTTTTTTTTTCTTTTGAACTTAACTGGAAGAATTCACATGACACTTGAGTTTTTAAAAAATTATTTTATAGAACTTTTTTCCTAAGTTGACTCTCTGATGGTCTTACCACCCCTATGACTTTTATAGGATTTATCAGCAGCATGGATTCTTTGATGAATTGTTAGATTGGAGCGCCAACTGAAGCTCTTACCACACGTCTCACACTTGTAAGGTTTCTCCCCTGTGTGGACTCTCTGATGAGACTGCAGTTGTGAAGACCGACTGAAGACTTTACCACACACATCACATCTGTAGGGCTTCTCTCCAGTGTGGACACTCTGATGAAGCTGAAGACTTGAGGCCTGACTGAAGTGCTTCCCACACTCCCCACACTTATATGGTTTCTCTCCTGTGTGGACCCTCTGATGCATGTCGAGGTTCAGGCTCCACTTAAAGCCCTTCCCACACTCCTCACATTTGTATGGCTTTTCTCCAGTGTGGACTTTTTGGTGGGCTTGAAGGTGTGAACTCCGACCAAAGCTCTTGCCACATTCTTCACATTTGAATGGCTTTTCTCCACTATGAACTCTCTGATGGGCCAGGAGATTTGAGGCCTGCCTGAAGACTTTTCCACACTCCTCACAATTGTACGGTTTCTCTCCAGTGTGGATCCTGCAGTGAATTTTAAGATCTGCTCTCCGACTGAATCCCTTCCCACACTCTTCGCATTTGTATGGTTTTTCACCAGTATGGATCAGCTGGTGGATCTGAAGTCGTGAACTCTGATTGAAGCCCTGCCCACACTCCACGCATTTGTAGGGTTTCTCTACACTGTGGGCCTTCTGATGGATTTGAAGATAGGAACTCTGACTGAAGCCCTTCCCACACACTTCACATTTATAGGGTTTTTCTCCTGTGTGGACGACCAGATGAACTTGATAATGGGAGTTCCTCCTGAAGTTCTTCCCACACTCCTCACATTTGTATGGTTTCTCCCCTGTGTGGACTCTTTGATGTGCCTGAAGATTTGAACTCAGAGTAAAGCCTTTACCACACACATTACATACGTATGACTTCTCTCCAGTGTGGATTCCCTGATGGGCCTGAAGACTTGAAGGCCGACTAAAGCCTTTCCCGCATTCCTCACATTTGTAGGGTTTTTCTCCTGTGTGGACTCTCTGGTGAATGTATAGATTTGAGCTACAAATGAAGCCCTTCCCACACTCCTCACATTTGTACGGTTTCTCTCCCGTATGGACTCTCTGATGGGACTGAAGGTGTGAATTCCGACTGAAGCTCTTACCACATGCATCACAAATGAATGGTTTCTCCCCGGTGTGGACTCTCTGATGGTCTTGAAGGTGGGAGGCCTGACTGAAGGCCCTGCCACACTCCTCACAAGTGTAAGGTTTCTCTCCCGTGTGGACTTTACAATGAACGGTAAGTGCTGATCGACGACTGAAGCCTTTCCCACATTCCTCACATGTGAATGGTTTCTTTATGCTGTGGACTTTCTGATGAGTTTGCAGTTGTGAGCTCTGACGGAATTCCTTTCCACACTCATCACAAACACTGCATTTTTCTATGTGAACTCTCTGATGAATATGAAGAACTGAGCTATAACGGAAGCCTTTTCCACACTCATGGCACATGTGAGATGTCTCTTTTGAGTGTAACTGCTGGTGAAGATCAAAGGTAGAAAGACTGGTAAAGGTTCTTTTACATTCATTACACTGGTAAGGTTTTTGTCCTGTGTGAATCATACTATTCTGATCCAATGTGGAAACCTTCGTGCTGTCTTTTCTATAATCATTGTGGCAATAAGACTTTTCATTCTTGTGTACTCCTCGATCATCAAGGTGGAATGAGATCTGACCAATGCTGTCAACATCCTCTTTACACCGACACAGTTTACTTTGCGTGGAAATTTCCAGGTATCTATTCCGATGATTCTGTGACTCAGTCAAGGAAATTTTTCTCCAAGAATCCCGGGCTCTCAAAGATGCAAACCTTGGATTTCCAGTATCACTGGGACCACCTGCTTTCTCATTTAATATATAGTTCTCATCTTCAGAAATTTGAATAGACAGTCCTGCCCCAACCTGGTCGGGGGAATAACCTTGTTTGTGGAGCTGACAACTATTTATCGTGGAGTCTTGACATCTGGTTAAGTCATTCGCAATTTGTTGCCAGATTTGCCAGCAGGAAAGCTCTTCATGTAATCCTCTCTCTTGAACAGCCCGCAGCTCACTTTGATTGTTTTCATCTATAATGACAGAGAATTGAGAGATGTGGACAGGTGAAAGCTTTGTTCAAAGAGTCAAGATTTCACACTTAAGACACAGTATGAGACTTGAATGAACCCCAGCATGGTTTGACTTATCTTTTTCCCCACAAATAAAGTTCTCAGGTTTGTATACTGACAGAAACCAAGAGATGGTCCATTAAAGTCCCAGATACTTAACAATAATGAAACCCATTTAAAACAAAATGCTATCTGACATACTATTTATAGCATCTTTCAAAAATTACATGTCGCTCCTATCACAGTACAGTATCAAGAAAGACTAGCATTTTGTTGTGCTCACAGGTTTCACAATGTCTGGCAGTTAGTTAGTCAGGGCTCAAGAAAGGCATGTACAGGTGAACCCCAGTTTGACTTCCAGGATGCTTGACAATTTTGAATTCCAGATTATGTCTGAATCAAGTCAGAGAAGGAAAAGAGCTTTCAAAAGGCAGGTGTCTGAAAGAGGAAAAGCACTGGAAAGTACAGCATGCTGAAAAGCTGCACCAGAGGCAGCAGTACATCAAGGGAATTGTGCTGAGAAGGTTCAAGGTGCTAAGAATCAGTGGGGGTGAAAAAAAGCACAAAAACCTATACACTGTTCTGGCTTCTTAGGGCAGTAGACAGCACATCAGTATCATAATCTGAAACCTATACACTGGATCCTTCTGAGGTAGCTTTATAGCCTAATATGGCTCCACACCCCCATAAAGTAAAAATGAACATTTACAGGCTAGGGAAGAATGATGTCTCAGCATGGAAGGGACTTCCGTGGTGGTCCCCAGTGCACGGGTTCCAGGTTTGATCCGTTTGGGAACTAGATCTCACATGATGTAACTAAAGAGTTACCTGTTGCAACTCAGAGATGCCACATGCCACAACTAAGACCTGGCACAGCCAAATACATAAATAAATATTAAGAAAACAAACTGGCTGCTTACTTAAAAAAAAATAACCATAGCATGGAAAAATTTTGGACATAAATACATTGACCTTTAACAAAAATGATTTCCAAAGTGAAGAAGGCAGTTTATGAGTGAGGTGGAAATAAATTCCATAGCTTATGATAAGTATGTAGAAGAAGACTAGACACTATCAAGGAATCATCAAAGCAGTCAATGTGAACAATGATCTGAAATCCCTTCTAAAGGATATGTACAAATCCCACACAAGCAAAATGTTTGTAGAGGTAACAACCTAAGATCCATTTCTGGGCTTGGGAAGAAGGAGATGGGATGAAGCTGGGAAAATCTTTTCAGGGCAAGGCTAACTCACCAGTTGGCTATTTTCTGAGACCTTTTCTCCCCGGATATGATGGATAAGGAAATAGAATTCTTTTTTCCTTTTATGAAGAGCTACCTAAGAAGTAGACATAAGAATTGTTCATTCAAAAAAATATTTTCTCCCCAAATGAATATGCTTGCTACTAACGGCTAAAGGAAAGTCACAGGGAAAGCATTTCACTCAGTTTGGTTATAATTACAGGTTCTATGCATGTGTCTGCTCAAGTTGATGAGGGTCAACTTGTATGGAAAGGCAAACACCCACATATATACCATGGGACCTGAGAAGTTAGAATTAGGCTAGGAATTAATTTGAAGACACAAAAACATTTTGCAATATCCCTATTCACTCGGATTTGTTCACCAGCCACTGGCTATTTAAGTGGTAGGCAAATTTCTCTATCCATTGACTCATCCATTTATTCAACAAATATTTAGAGTCCTTGTCATGTACCAAGACTATTCTAAGCACTTAGGCTTGTGAGTAATAAATGGAAAAGACCAAATTCCTCCACTCTGGGGACTTCCCTAGTGGTCCAGTGGCTAAGACTCCACACTCCCAATGCAGGTGGCCTGGGTTTGTTCTCTAGTCAGGGAACTAGATTTCACATGGGCAATGAAGATTGAAAATCCAGCATGCCTCAACCAAGACTGACACAGCCAAATAAAGAAATCAATATTAAAAAACAACAGTGACAAATTTCTCCATTCCTGGAATACCCTCCAGGGGAAGAGAGAGAAGTGAGAAACAGGTGAACCAAAATGTATGTACCTGAGTGACAATCAGTACTCAGAGGTCAAAAAAGGCAGGGCAGAGAAAGAGAGAGAGAACTGGATTTTCTACAGTGTGGTCCAAAGACAGCCCTCTCTTCCTCTTGAAGGTGAGTGACCTGAGGTAAGTACATAGGCCTGAAAGATAACAGGTGAAAGAGTATTCCATGCAGAGAGGACAAGGAGACACATCTTTTGTAGGTCTGATAAACAGTAGGGAGGATGATGGAGATGGAAAAGACAGAGTCAGAAGGAGGAGAGGAGATGTCTCACTCAGGGAGGTGGTGGGGTTGAAAAGCAGACCATAGAGGATTCCAGAAGTTGCTTTAGGTGGTTTTTATTCTAAGTAAAACAAGTCATAAGAAAATTTTGAACAGACAACTAACATAATCTGTCTTAAACTTACAAAGGATCCCTTTACCACTTCAAGAACAAAAGGGTGGGAGCAGGTGACCAATATAGAGACTGTGCAATAACCTGGGAAAGAGATGTCCCATTGGGACCAGATGATGGACAGCACAGGGCTGCTGAGAAGCAAAACATATCGAGAGTTAACCATGAGAATGAACAACTGCTTGGTGCTTACCTAAATTTCTATCTGGGTCGCTGAATTCATCATCCAAAGCCTCTCTTCTCTATGTTTTGTATCTCTTTTGAAGAATGAGAACATGCAGAGGTGCAAGTTAAAATGAACATGTCAGAGCTAAAGTTTACTGGAAATTTGAGTTTCCAACTGCATATTTAAAATACTGAAGAGTGAAGTCTGAACAGCAGAGAAGAACAAACAGTAAACTCGGGACTAATGGTTCTGATTATATTTCCATTATCAAGGCTAATTGTTTTAGGAGATTTTGCCTTGATTATAACAATCATAAACAAATATTTTATGTTTCAAAAAAAGATACTGAAGGCCCTGTTTTTCAAACTTTGTATCATGACCCACTGAAAAAGTAGCATTTATTTCATGACTCAGACACATATGTAGGAATATGCATTACTAAAACGAAGGCTGAATGACCTATTTCTGACCGATGTCTATTTTCCTAAAATCTGTTCCCACTGGCTTTCACACCACTCATGCATCAATCAGGGTTTTCGCTGCAACGTGATCTACTCTTCCTAAGAAGCTCTTGATATTTCTCTAATATTTGATTTAATTAAAAACAGCATGTAAGGCTCGATAAGTTGGCTTTATAATCCACTAATGGGACTGCCACTAATGGGACATGAGTGAAATCTGAAGAACAGACAAGGAACAGCAGGATACTGTTCATTTACTGTTCTTTGACCAAAAAAAGAAAAAGACCTGAAACACACTGTTTAGAAAGACCAGAGATAGCCTCTCATGTCCCACTGGAATTGGAAAAGTCTGGTCTCCAAACTCGGGGAACCATTTCAAGAACCCCAGAGCCTTCAAACACCAGGGTCACAAGACACTTGCAGAAAAAGGCTGTCCTCACCCACTGAGACCAGGTTCCAGAAGTTCTCCACCATCACATCCTGGTACAGCTTTCTCTGGGCTGAGTCCAGCAACCCCAGCTCCTCCTCTGTGAAGGCCACAGCCACGTCCTTGAAGGTCACTGCCTCCTACAACAAACAATACCAGCTCAATCTTATAGCCAGTGTCCCATGGGAGAGCGGCAGCACCAGGAGGGAGAGGAGGAGGATAAGTGGCTCTGGCTCCTGTGCAATGTGTAGCCTTCCCAGTCCCGCTCCTTCCATCCTGCCAACACCACACATGACTTTCCTTAGCCTCACCGCAAGTGCAGCTATGAAGAAGGAAGCTTTGTGTATTTACCTGGTGTTCTCAGTGAACTCATAAACAAACTCCCTAGAATTCTAACTGTTGCATCCTGAACTAAAAAGGCTTCACTTTTTATTTTTGGCCATGCTTTGCAGCTTGTGGGATCTTAAGTTTCCTGACCAGGATTGAACCCAGGCCATGGCAGTGG